TATATTTATTCATTTATATAATAACATATATACATATAATTATATATAGTTAATGTTTAAAACTATAATAATAAAATTAAGATATAAAAAATCCATTTGAAATCATTGTAAAACTTTAAGACCACCAAAATAAAGAAATATTAATTTAAATATAAAATACAACTTGAAAACTCAAATAAAAGCAATTTGCAGATTCGTAAGTTCGGTTTTTAAAAATCTTTCTTTCATAAATTTAATTTTTTTTTACATATGTATATATATTGCACTAATAAATAACATATTTAATATTTTATTTATAATATCTGTCAACTTAAAAAATTTATTGACATATTTTTTTTAATGTGATTCACATAAAATACAATACAATGAATGGCCGAGTTAGTTTTTATTAGGAATCTCATTGTTTGGCAGTTGAGACTGTCATATTGTCAACCTGTGAGATATCAATTTTAGTCAACATTTACATATAAATACGTTTACATGCCATTGTTTGTATGTAGATTGGCAATAAACGTCAACACATAAAATTGTTATCGAGTCAAGTCTGGCATTACGCAGCTCAAATTACAAAATTATGTCAACATATCTAAAACACGAGGCAGGCGTTCAAACTGCAGATAACTAACTGCAGATAAAAGATACAATGTTTCGTATATATGATATTGATGTGATACAGCGAAAAGTATTAATGGCACTTGAAACTCATATTTCAACTGAAAATTACATAGCACAAGCTGCCCAGATTTTTATTATTAAATCTTAAAATTACTGTCGTAAAAATACAAAAGCTTCAAAAAATGTTTATATATAAGTTTTATTTATTTCTTTTTTCTATGGTCATAATAGTTAATGATAGTGTTGCCAATATTTTGCCAAACGCTTATTCCGCTGGCATACTCTCTGTAGTGAAACAAGTTGATTAAATAATAGAAGCAATCATACATTAAAGCCGCTGAATACGCCACCACAATTGATGCTTAAATGGTTTTAGAGTTGAAAAAAAATCACAATAAAACATAATCTGCCTTCTTCTTCAGCTTACGAGCAAACCCGCAGTGCTATTTTTCGTACTCACAGTATTTAACATCTTTTTCAAAAAAACTCACATCCATCACATCCATCACATTCATGCATTTAAACCACATGGAATCTTTAGTTTGTCCATTTAACAGTTGTGTAATCTACTTGGTTTTAGCAATTTATTTAGTTTATATTGGACCGGTTTTTTTCCGATTTACACTTAAACGAACAAAAGACGTAAATAATGTCAAAGAGCATTATTGTTGTGGAATTGGTACACAATGTATAAAGACTTGCAGTCAAAATTTGTTGAACCAAGTCAAGGAAGTAGGTCAACAATTTATGTAATAGGAATATATATAGATTAAAGATACACAACACTTAAATTGTTAATGGTCAATGTCCTTAAATGGATTTTTATAAAAATAGACTCATTCTAACACTGCGTCTAGACCAGTGATACCAAACTTTTTTCGACCAAAGACCACTATGGTATTTTTTATTTTTAGCAGAGACCACAAAGTTTAAGAATAATAAACTGTATGATTATTTTCATATGTTTTATGCATCTCTGGTATAATGTATAATGAATTGTATAATTACATAGCTACATTATATAGGTTATCGAATAGATATAAACCGACTTGAAAGTTTTTTGTGCTTATTTTCTAATAAATGAGGTCTCAGTGAACAAATTGCAAGCTATGTATTCCATACCAGTTAAATTTGTTTCACAGACCGTTATTAACCACCTCGCTGATCAACGGTTGGAAACCACTGGTCTAGACTTACTGGACTAACACATACAAACTTTTGTATATACAAACTATTATTAACCACTTCACGGACTACCGCTTGAGAACCACGGATGTAGAGTGACTAGACTAACACACACAAGCAAACTGCTTGATGTCACTCAGTGATTTTTAATAAAAGAAGTGAAAAAGTTATCTTTATGCAAATTTACCACATTCTGTGAAGAAGAAATCCAGTGCTCTCATTGTAATGCCCCGCAAAGATATCAGTCTTGTGGGAAGTTTACTCACGGGTCACAGTCGATTAGGAAGCTATACTAGAATCATACTAATGAATCCCCCGTGACGTACCATGAAAATGCGTCACATTTGTTTTGCCTAGTGCGTGAGCTATGCCGTTTTAATATTCTAGAGGTCTCTTGTTTTGAGAATCTTGGCCAATTTCAAAACTTTACTGATACATTAAGTGCAGTAATTAACTAAGGATATCAACAATTTATATAATCTCTCCCTGGTTTCGATTTAGTATCTGCTACTGACTGCATACACTAATCCTATCAGGAAAATGTGGTAATTGGGATCCGTTAGAGATAACTACAAAATTAGCATTTACACGAATGGCTAAAAGATGCGCAGAGATACGATGTGGATATGACTGAAATGAAGTGCAGGTAAAGCAATCATATTGACCCCCTTATACTCATAGCGTTTTTCAGACTAAGACGATATACAATGTTGGAAAAGTAGCCAGGCCAATATTAATGACCTTAACCTTTGAACATCATTGTTCTTATGGATAATCTAACAGCTCTGAATGCTTTTGAATCCAAAATAATCAAATCGAAGATTGTAATGAAATATCATACCAAGGTTCCCCTTTTTTGAGTTCCTGAAATAATTAAATGTCATATTATATGAAGGAAATGAGATAGCTGATGAGTTGGCGGCGTTGGTACACAATACGAGACTTAATTAGTTTACAAAAACCTTAGTATCTATATCTCGCAACTATATTTCAGAAAAGAGCTAACTATCATTATATAAATTTTAAATTTGGTATCCCTTGTTATGAGTGCCATTTTAAATAACTTGATATATACAGAGTTTGTTTTTTTCACTGGAGTTATGTGGCTTTTCATTACAATGGCTGGATTAATAGGTGTATGGTAGATATATTCTCATCTTAATACATATCATGATTTTGTATATCATGATATATTCACCTCATTATCCAGTAGACCTATATTTGTATATAGTTGTATATATTGTATATAACTGTATATATTGCGGATCAGTCGGAGCAATGCTGAGCATACTTTCTTTAACTGCGTAAGATGACGTGAAGAAAGAACACTACTTGCAGGATATATAGGTCATTTTACAGTCGATAATATTGTAGAAAAAATGATAGAACGAGCAGAAAATTGGAACAAAATCACGCAATTCATCGAAAATGTTCTAAGGGAAAAGAAGAAAGATCTGGACGCAATCTAATCTTAAACGAAAAGCACGAAATGAGAGCCGAAATACATACTCTGAAATTGGAAAAAGTAGACTGTAGGGCAAGATTAAATATCTGCAACAGTAGCGGGGCCTGGACGCAGGGCACACCGATGGAAGTCTTAAATGACTAATAGGGACCCTACCTAGAAGTAATACTAACGTAGTCCCGGGGTAGAACAAGGTCTCTAGGAATGAGGGAGAGTGGTTTAGCCCGTGCCCGACTCGCACAGGCTCCGGGGCTCCGAAAGGTGGTCAGTGCGTAGGCATTCCACTCCTCCTTGCCGCAAAAAATAATAATAAAGTTTACTTTTCATCCTTTATATTATTGGCGGCGATAAACTCTATAACATTATCAATAAAGTCGCCTAAATTATCTTCGTATCATCTGTGTCTGCAACTACTGAATACTTGACTTATTTGGTATTTCATTGTTTATATGCAGTTATTTCTATTACATGTCAATATTTATGTAATATTATTCAATGCGTAAACTTAAGAAAATTAATTTTTCCATTAAAATAATTAAATACATAATAGTATTAACAATTATCAAAATAATTTGTATTACGAAAATGCAGTGTGTGTGGGCTGTAAAAGTTTCAACTTCAATTATTCGGCAAATGAAGTACGATTTTATTGGTTAAGGCGATGAGATTCACCGTGAAACTATTTTGAGCCATTTATCATGGCACTTTATTTGAAACCAAGTCTAGTGGAAAGTGTTAAAATTTATATTTGTTTACTTGAATCTGTCAAAGCACGCACAATTGATATGTCAACACACGTCGGCCGATATTTCAATGTGGCAAGTGCCAAGACTCGACACCCAAGTCTTAAGCGTTGGCCATCAGACGTCTTTAACTGTCTTTAACCGTCTTTAGCCGTATTCAACTCGACGTTTGTTGGTGCATTTTAGGTTGTTTCGTGAAGAAAGCTAACTTCTTTATGGTTTATTGTGATTTTATGCAGATTTAATTGTTGCTTAGTAACGCCTCCAAAATTCAGTTCAACGGTCGGCTCTGTAAAGATTTCTCACATAAATTGAGCATTGCTAATTTCATTTGTTCAAGTCTTAATGTTATTATTGTTTTCGAATTTGACTTTCTCGAATTATGAAAATGGATTTCTTTGTTATTCATTATGGTGTCTGAACACTACGTAAACACACAATAATATAACACATAAAAATTTAATTGAATCAACTTTTTGCATTATGTATGAGAATAATTGATTTCACTTTAAAGAATATTTATAAATATTTGAAATATAATTGAAAGAAAAATTATTATTATAGTTAAAGATAGAATTTGATTTTTTTTATAGATATATAAAAGTGATGAAGAGATTTTAAAGATCCTTTCATTAGGTTATGTGATTATAAGACCATATAGTCATGCTTTCAGTGAAGTCATCACAGTAGGTTCGTCCCATTAAGAAGATTGCTCCATTAAGTTACGTGATAATAAGACCATGTATCCATGCTTTCAGTGAAGTCATCACAGTAGGTTCTTATCATGAAGAAGATTGCTCCATTAAGTTAAGTGATAAAAAGACTATATGACCATGCTTTCAATGAAGTTATCACATTAGGTTCTTATTATTAGCTATTATCATATATATGTAAAATAAATTATTTTTTACCTTTAAATGAATTATAAACGCAAAAATCAAATTGATGTATAAAAATAAATTAAAACATTTTAATTTTTTATATATTTTTAGTTGATTGGGATTTCGATATCCCTAGCAGCAGCAAACGCAAAAAAGGATTCTGTTAAAGATGCCTCAACCAATCCAAGTGGAACGACTAAGCTAGCTCCAGCACCTGCGACGGCTACTAAAGAAGTTACAAAGAAGGAAACAAAGACAACAACAAGTTCTAGAACATCAAAATCATTGAAAGGTCCATTGGACAGCCGTGGAAAGCGTACCTTATACGACTTTGGTAATGCTGGTTATCTCTATTCAGATATTGCAAGTAGACGTGCTGGTTATGAAAGTGAATCACGCCCTTACTATACTGAAAGCGGCTTATACAATGGACAAAATGCTATCGGTAACCAATTTTTAATTTCTTTTTACGATTGATATTAATATATTATTTAATCCTTAAAGCGCAATACCCATCAGGTTATGGTGGAAGTTATGGACATTATCCACAGTATCTGGAAGCACCAGAACCAATTATAGAAATCATTATTAAAGATTCAAATGATACGCTAGCAACAACAGCACCACAACCAATAGTCACTAAAAAGAAGAAAGAGAAAGTACATGTTTTCTATGTAAATTATAAAAAAGATCAAAACAATAAATTACATTTGGAAAGTCCTATTGCCTCACTTAATAATGACGAACATGAGGAAGAAGAAGAAGTTGTACATTATCCCCAAGTAGTTACACCCTTACCACCACTTAAAAGTACCACATTACGTACCATTATACACCCAGATTCTGAAAAATATCATAGCAATAGTGGTATACATGTAACCTTTGGTTCAGAAGACAAATCACAAACTGGTCATATATTAGAGGAACATAATGCTGAGAGCATACAAAGCCAAGTAGTAGCATTACCTGCTCCAATTAATGTGGGCAGTGGTGTAAAAAGTGATTTATTACCTGCAAATACGAGAGCCGACTATTTAAGCAATCACCACAGTCGTTTACCAAGTGCTAATCATCTATTCACTGCACCTTTCCAACAGCCACATAGTTCCAGTTTTTATCAAGAACTACCACAGCAGCATGGGGGTACTTACTTTAGACCCCCAAATAACTTAATACACCACAAACCCCCAACACCACCACAAGCATCACCACAATTTTATCAGAAACAGCCACAACATCAGCGTCCAAATTTCAATCCCACGCACTCACAACCACCACCACCGCCATCACCACCATCTACTTCACAACACCAACCACAAGCACAGGCTTTATATCGAAAGCAACATCCCACACAACAATTAACACTTCAGCAATCGCATTATTACAGCAATCAAAATCAACAATATCCACAGCAACAATCCCATCAACATAGTCAATATTATCAAAGCTTTCCACATAAAGTACAACAATCCAGCAAGCAATCTGTGTATTTCCCAACAGAACCACCACAACAGCAAGAACTTCCATTACGACAGAATGCAGGGCCTTATCAACCAATTAAATTCCGTCCTACACCTGCACCAACACCACAAATTAAACCAGTACCAATACCAGTAAAATTGGAAAATACTAACTATAATGTTCCAACTCAACAACATCAATCACAACATCAACAATATGAACAGCATCAACAACAACATCAACAACAACATCAACAACAGCATCACCAACAGCATCAACAACAACAACATGAACAACATCAACAACAACAGCAGCAACAACATCAACAACAACAGCAACATCAACCACAGCATCAATCACAACAACATTATCAACAACAAGCCGAGCAAGAAAAGCAACATCACCAACAACAGCAACAATTCCATTTCAACCGACAGCCACAATACGTCCAGCAACCAAGTTTCTCATTGCCATCACCAGTTGTACCGTCGAACTATTACAATAAAAATCAACAACACACAGCTACAAATATACAACAATCAAATCAATTTTCAAAGACAAATAATTATCAAGAACATCATCAACAGCAATCACCGTCTGCTTTACAATCTTCTGCTACTCTGAGTGCTATACACAACTATTTGGATATTAAACCATCAAAAGAAACCGAATTACTGCAATCGATACCAAGATACGAGCAACATATTACAGAAACCATACATCATCAACAGAGTTCACAGCAGCAATCACAAAACCAATACAATCAATATGCCTACAATACACAGAATCAGGTTATCCACGATATACCTGCTCCCAATTTAGGTCCTACAGTGAAGCCCCAACAACAATCAAAAGATCATTTCAGCAATATAGATAATGCACATCAACAGGTTAATGGACACTATATAACCGCCACCAATTCAAATCAACAACAACATTTCACAAGTTATGCTAGCGGCGTACAAAATGCAGCTGCTTCTCAGTCATTTTCATCTTCGACCCTTCCACCTCAATATGCACAATCTACAGATGGTGAGAAAATAATGATTGTAACCCCAATGCCACCCACTACTTATAATCAGTACCCTACACACTACAGTAATGAGGGTCTACAGGTGCAAATCACACCCAATTCTCAACCAACACTACAAGTGCAAGCATCTACAAACTTTGCGCAACAACCTCGGCAATCAGCTTCAAGTGTACAATCTGTCGGCACAGGTTTAGCTCTAGGTCATTATGATAATTCTCCATTTAGTGTATCTACATATCACTCTGATGTTTTCAAAGAGCTAGAACAGCGTCATACTCAACAAATGAAAGAAGTACCAGCACAAACAATACGTCATCAATTACCTGCTGAAGCTCAACTTGCCAAAACAAAAGAGACTCAAAAACCATATATCCCTAGCGCGACGAAAACCGAGCCTGTAAAGAACAGTCCCGCTCAACAGAAACCCAATGCTGACGAGAACTCTTCAACAACAAATGTTAAGGCTAGTCAAACTCTATTACAATTACCCGATGAAGTACCAGATGATTTGCGACAACAGTTGCTTTCTTCAGGCATTCTAAACAATGCAGATATATCCATACTGGATTATGATAAAGTAGGTGACGTTGCTCTTGAAAACTTACCTCCAGAACACCTACAACACTTTTATGGTGCAGGTGGTGGTGCACAAATATCCGAATCTAACAAGGTTGTAACGGTAGTAAAACCAAATGGTGATAAAGTAGCGCTTTCTGAAAAAGAAATTGAGCGAGTTAAAGAGAGCAACTCTTTACCACAAAAACATAATCTCGATGTCAAAGTCGTACGTTTCAATGCAAACAATGAGAAGAGCGTAACAGATAAGTATTTGAAGACTGATGCAACAGTCGTACCACCTGTCGACTTAGCTGATCGTCAATATAATCGTTATTTGCCATTAAAAATTAATGGTGCTCAGTTCCCCATACCAGACAGCGAGGAATTGCGTGGTAAGAAAGTTGTTAGTGTGGTCGTACTAGCACCTGTTGAGGCCAGTGAGGGACGCATTGAACGTGATACAAACGCTGAAAATAAAGAAGTCAAATTCTTAGGTGGCGATCTTATAAAGACTCTTGTCAAAAAACCGACAAAAGAAAATTTTAAACGCTGGCTGGAAAAGGAATCAAAAACAGATGTTGAAATGCAATCCGTTGTACTTTTAGTAGCAAAGTAAGCATTTGACTTCATTTAAAATTTATTCGTTTATTTTGTATAAAAATGTATTCTTACAGATCTCCAGACAATGTTGATCAGGAAATATTCATGTACGACATAACCACAGGTGCTGTGAATAAGCTTAATGGTGAACTATCGAGTGCGTTCGTTAATGTAGCTGAAGAAAATGCCAGCACGGAAGACTTAGAGCATGCGTCCACATTAGACCCTAGCTTTCTGGAAACTATGATGCATAAGAGCCGGAGATGAATTTCATTATAAACAATCCACTTAACAAATTTCGTGCTACTTTAGTGCGAAAATTCATGTTAAATCGCCATTTTTTTTCTACATTTTTATTTTAGTAATTTAATGTGAAATACTGGAAACTACGCTCGCAGTGTCTGGAATTTACTATTTCAGAGACCCATTAGAATATCTTAAATTTATTTTCATTATAGTCAAAAATTGTAAAAGGTTAGGTTCGAACAATTGACACTTCCAGCGTAGTTTTAAAGTTGACACTAGTAAAATTAAAAAAATATTTAGCAATAATGCATGGATCCGTATATTGCTCAGAAGATCCACCGTTTTAGAAATTCTAAAGAAAAATAAGGATAATAGGATAGTATATGCATTGAACAGCAAGAGATGTTGTCCTCATTCATTTGTGGTTTCCACTTAAATACTTTTTATTTTGGACTTTTTAAAAGACGCTTTGTAAATTTGTTTTTTATATATTTGTTAATTTTTTTTATTTTTATTTGGTTCTATTTAATTATTTTTAGTTATGTTTTTTTATTATAATTAAATATGTACATATTATATATTTAGGTTGAAAAATAAATGTAATAATAAAATGTATATAAAGACAATTTTAATTTTTGTTTCATTGAAAGCAATTAGTTACTTACATACGCCACACACAACTTAAATATTAGAGACACCCAAAACCATCTTATCCTTATCCAAATCTAAGATTAGGAACTTTGACCGTACGATCGCCGCCCAATCTTCGTCTTTCACACATAAATTTGTCATCAAAAAGCAAATACATTTAAATTAAGAGAGAATTGAAACGGGAAGCTCGGGAAACAAATCTAAAAAACTATGATATTGAATAAATAATACTTTAATGTTCATTAGATAAACTTTGATTGAGAAACAAAATGTTTATGAACTTTCAGGATCCTTGTCGATTTTATGATTGACGTTAAACGTCTACAATATATATTATACATTGCACGAACAGATGATTAAACAGCGGTCTCTCACAACAGTAGTTAACGACTCCCATTGCAATCCAATTATATGAAATACAAAGCCAAATAATTGAGTTTTATAGCCACTATCGGAAGAACTATTACTAAAATAGATTTTCCCAACTTCATTTTTGACCCTATTAGCTACTACAGTTTAGAAGTGCATTGTGCATAACATGTCTAGTATAAGACTATGACAAACAAATGACTATCTAATTTAATAAAAGAGTAGAACGAGAAAAAGAAAGAGAGTAGAATAAGAAAAAGAAATAGAGTAGATTAAGAAGAAAAAGTTTGGAATATGATGATTTATTATTTAATCAATAATTCTTAATTGAAGAATAATATATTCTTCACTTTCAGACATATCATTATTTTACAATTCTTTAACCAATTCACCTTCCGTTTGTTGCTTGTAATTACGAGGCACATGCTATTAAATTCTAAAGAATCGGATATATTTAATTTTTTTTAAATATTATACACAAACCTATTAATTTCTTTTTTCCTTTATCAAAACCCATTTTTAACACATTTTAATGGTATAACCATTAATAAAAATGCTAGATAAGTGGGTGTCTACAAATACCTTCCATTCTTACGGCTTTCCGCCATTCTTCTTTTTCGTCTTTGTTTTTCCTTTTTATTTCGCTGTCTTCAAAACTTTCTTTCGAACTCCATTACTCTTGAGCCTCCAACAGGTATTCCTCCTTCAGAATTTATTTCTTCAGAAATTTTCGATTATAGCATATCTGATACATGACCAAACCAATAAAATTGGTGGTACTTAAGTTTATGTTGGATGTGAACTTTCCATTACCAATTTTTTTGCGATCATTCGTATTGTGTTACACATAGTTTTTCACACAACTCTTCTTCTTCTTAGGCATTATTTCTAGAGATGTTATTTTGATTAACCTTTTTTTTGCTCCATACAATAATACAATTGTTTAAACGATTGTGTTGTAGTTTTATTGACTGTAGTCATATATTAACTGCTCTTGAAACTCGGTTTACGCTTTTCATGATGAACCTATAAAGGAGGATTTTGATAGGGTTTTCAAGTATAAATATTTAGTGTTGTTCTCATCTATTCTCTACAGTCTGATAGTTTTTAAGCTTATTATAAAAAAAATAAGCAATATCAATAATCACTGTATTTAAATCCGTTATCAAAAATATTTATTTTATCTAACTTTTTTATTTTACTTTTAGTTTAATACTTGCGAAAATCATGTCTAATAAAACCATTAACTTTTGTTAACTAGGCCCTCAATATTAATTAATAACATACATTCAACATGTCCTTTTTATATATAATGTTTGGTTCTTAATTAATACAATTGAATGATTAATTTTTTCAATTAAAATTAGTAAAACTTAATTCCATTAGATGCCTCATTTGATCTGCTGATAATAGTTTACATGGTTAACGCGCTTTACATTACAGGGTCCAATTTTTTGAGTTCGTCAGTAAAAGATATGACAACTATGTTCTTATGCATTATAGGTACTCGTAGCTGTAAATAAAATAATAAGGAAAACCTGAAAAAAAATTTGGATAAATACGGAGATAGCATTACATATAAGCTATGATCTCAGATTATATATTTACTTAACAAAGTTAACATATTCTATATTCCCTGAAACATCTTATATTAAAAAATATATCAAGCATTTTATTAAAACTAATATGAATACATCTTCATAAATTGGAATTATACACATTCAATCATCATTGATCTCATGTTGAGTCCCACTGTTCTACAAAAATATTTTAATAAAGTCTTCGAATAGTAATGAATTACAACAACAAAAGTTTTATTATTATTTTAATTAATGGAATTTTTTGGCTGAACATACAACTGTTTCAAATATTTTGAAATACATATCATCAGTGGAATTGGGATTATTTCTTATATTCAATTAATCGTAAATTATTTTTGAGACTTCAAGTACCTAGAGTTGAACTTGTTTCCTGCCAAATTTGAAGCTCAGAGTCAGTGTTTAAGGTCAGTCAAAAATGTAATTAATTAAAATATTAAAAAGATTTCTGTTGTCTTAGTTCATCACAGTTCGAAACAACTCTATTAAATACAATACTTTATATTAAGTAAAACAGTCACTTTCGTTATAAGTGATGTTAAAATATAATGAAATAATTTACTTAAACTTTTATACTACCCTTTTATTTGTCTTAAATATAAGAAAAACAAAAAAAAAGGGTGTGAATACAGGTTCTACGCGTAGCATATGGCATGTATACCCAAGTTATAAAGGAACGTCCCTGAAGGAATATGAAAGAGATCTCAGAGGGGGAAATCCCGAAGAAGAAGGAGGGGTGTTTTAGTTCGTAAACTACTCAGTACGAGTCGGACATACTATTCCGGCGACATTCAGTTTAACGATGCATAAAGCATTCCACCACATCCTCATAAAAGAAAAATATATGTGTATATATATGTATAAAATGAAAGAACTTCATATTTTAAACGGTTTCTCAATTACTATACTTTTATGCAAACTAAAAGCACCCTGTAATTGTGTATTGAACCACGCATGTCCTTGCAGAACACAATTCCTAATAAAGTAATTACATTACAATACAATTAAGCCATAAGCAAAAATGATAACAAAATTAGTATTTAATTGTTCCCCGAGGTGATAACGTCAAAGAGGTGTAAAAAGTTATTAAAATATTTATGGAAAATATAAAAATGCCACAGCTATTGGTATTGAAGGAATGTTGGTCGAAAGGTTTTCCGAGTAATGAATTCGGTTATGTTTTGTATCCATTTTTGTGTATTTTCAAACTTTTCGGTTTCGCGCCCATCGACCTAAAAAATGGTGAAAATTTACATAGTAAATATGGAAGACTAAAATTGGATATATGCTCTGCTACTTGGACTGTGATTAGTGCCATTATCTATATTGGTAAATAGATGCAAATTAATTTTAAAAAATAAGCAATTAAATCGCAAACTTTAAAGTTGGTTTCAGTTATGCCGTACATCAGATGAGCATCACAAATCACTGGGGACACATACAATCAGAAATTCCATTCATCACAAGTTGGGCACAAATTGGTTCACTTTTTCTATTAGGCGGCTTAGCAGTGTTAACATCATGGCTTCATCTACCGAATATGCTAAAATTATGCAATTTAATTTATAAAATAGATCAATATCTGAAAGTGTATATGAATGTGCAAATAGATTATAAACAGTTACGTCGGCGATTATTAATTGAATTCACATTACTGTTTCTGGTACCGACGACATTATCTATGGTTAACTGCGTTGTTATACAACCAATACCAGATTTAAGTTTCAATTCGTCCTGCTACTGGTTCATTTGTTTTGCACCAATCATGCTGCTAACTTTTAAGGAGTTTCAATTCTACAATCTATTATTCATACTTAAATCAAAATACGACCTTATAAACGAGAAACTACAATTCTATATACATGGCTTGGATAAGAAGAAAGAAAAACTGAAGAGTAAATCAAATTCAATATCTGAAGTACCATTAGCTTCTATAGTAACGACAACAAGCGTCAAAGAAATGGAAATACTAGGAGTAGACACTCTACAAAATTTACTAGATATATTCTCTCTCATCACAGATGCTGTGGAACTGGTTTTAAAGATTTTCTCATGGCATTTACTATTGACCACCACAATTTCGTTTCTGACTATTACCGTTCAAAGTTATAATTTATTCGCGGTACTCATGAAGGCCTTGGAGATGTTGCCATATCAAATTTTCTTTATAATCGCTTGGATTTTAATACAAATATTGACAATCGGCATAAATGTCAGTGCCTGCAGCATGACTGCTAATGCGGTAGTGTACTTACATTAATAGTTTATACAATACAATCAAAACACTTATTACTTAGATGTCATCTGCTGGTCCACTTGTGCACAAACTAAAGAGACATACATCTATAGATCCTGCCTCTAGCTTTTATCAAATCATTCAAATATTTTCTATGGAAATTTTACATCGTCAAAATATTTTCACTGCAGCTGGTTTCTTTGATATAAATTATAAGCTCATCACTTCGGTAAGTTAATTATATCTCTTACGTTCCAACCACTAAATGGAACAGACTATATGTCAATGATACTTACAGATTATAGGTGCAGTTACAACGTATTTGGTGATAATCATACAATTTCACGAAGCCACTGCAGATATGACGAGTACTAAACTAAATGTGACGCACCCGATAAATATGTGAAGTTGATACAACGTTTAAGTATTGCGAATCGAAATATTATTTTGAGTTTCATTGTAATATACCTAGATTTATTAATAAATATATATTTATATATACTTCCACTCTGATTAAAATATTATTTCTCCTTCTTAACAAAGTTGATTTGGGTGTATTTACTTTTATACTCTTCATGGACGTATCTATGATACGTAAAAACCAATGTTAAAGATACTTCAAATATTTATTTTGTAAGTTCGTAATACGGTACACAGCTGTTTTTGCAATTTTATTTTTGATAGTTCTACGAAATTGAAATTATCATTTAAACGAAGACGGTTCTAGTCGATTTCAGCCATAAAAAAGAATTAACTAAAGAGTTGAAAGCCTCACATCAAGCAGCCTACAAAATATATATGGAGCTTTGGGTCAAGAGCTATCATAGTTAAATTGTACTTAATAGTTTGAAATATCCGAAAATTTCAAATATAGTAAGTTAAGATTGAAGAGTTCAAATTTTGAGAAAACTCTGGAATAGACTGCAATTCGTATCTGTTTCTATATTTGAATAGATGTCAGTATAGTGATAAAAAATCTGTTCCTTGAGTATATATATCTGATACCCATATTGTCGTGAATCCATATTAAAAGGGTTACTTTATTACTTAATAAGCTTTTAAAGATTATTATATATCAAGAACCTTCACTAATATTATTTGTAAATTACCACTTTGGCTCTATATTTTTTAATGGACCATACATATTTTGGAAATAGAGCATTATCCAGCTATGTTAAATACTGTTATAGCCTTTTATTAATTATTTATTTATTTATTATTTTAATTTATTTATACTAATTAATATATAAATATATTCTGATAAGAATAAATAATGGAAGCACTGATTTAATAATTTTTATCCAACTTTAATATTTAATTCAGAATTGTAAGCATTTAAGCCAATCGAATTATTGAAATAGACATCAAATATATATAAAAATTGTGTAACGAATCCATAACTGATAAAAAAGTATAATCCCCCATGCGTATCTTATTAACCCAATTAAATTTGTTTCATGATATCTCCAAATGCACAATCATTATAAGTGGAGTACTCTACTTACTGTCTAATCTGGCTAAATTACATTTCAATTGCAAATGTCAATTGACTGCTTTTACATTGAAATTTATTTTGGCAGTTCAGTTTTGGTTTTCAAATTATAGAGCATTTAAGATATGTAACATAATTCTTAAACTTAGATATAAAAATAAATAAAAAGTATATATTTTTACCAATTAAGAGTATTTGTTATACTCGCTTATTGTTTATTAAAGGGAATCAATGGAAGTTAATATATTAGGATAGGATAAAAAATTTAATAGAGTTTAATTGAAATCAATATTGATCCGATCAAAAAATACAAAAAGGATAGAGCCTTGAAATTATTTCACGAAAACTGACAGACTTACCAACACCGCGTTATCAAATCTCAAAATGGTTACAGGCTCCTCGGGGAGGTATGCAGAACCAGGATTGATTGACAATCAAAATTTTTGGTGTTCAGTCCACTTGTGTGAATCGAACTTATCAGTTACCCGAGTTCATTCAAAATAAAGTTAATTCATGTTCTAGAGATATTAAATTCCAGCTCCACTTTTTTGAATGAAGATTGTTGCTAATCGTTGTTGAGACCACGCACAGTTTGAATGAAATCAAAAAACCATCATTATTATAAACATGGTTCATTAAATCAAATGTTTCGATCAAAGTTCAAACAATTTTAAGAGAATAATTTCTTTGTCCAGTACACGATTTTATATCGGTAACAAAAAGATACTATAACTTCAATCGCAATAATTCCACTCCAATTCGTCCAAAGATTATGATATATTATTTTGATAATACATCAGTGAAGAATCTATATTTACAGACACTTGTAATTACTTATAAATGACCTGACCACAAATATATATATAGACTCCATATATTGAACTGTGAAGATTCCTGTTATCTTTCACACAATCATGAAAGATACTGGAAGTAACATAAGATTAGGTTCCATATATATATCTGGTATGACAATATGGTTTTGGGAAGGTCATCCCGAATATAAGTGAACTAATGAGTTCAGGAGATTTGAAAGAAGTTTTGTGACTATCTAAGATATTCTAGAATCAAAATAGGTTAGGTTTCGAAGTGTATAAAACTCGTAAGTTATTCCTGGTAGTTAGTTTCTAATTGCCAAATAGAAGTTCATATGTACAAATATCTATATACTTTGGAATTTTTTATGAATATTACTTGCTATTATATATATAACCAAGTTAACCAAATATAAACAACTGATTTATAACATAACTATATTTATAAAGAGTATTAAAGCTTCACCCATACCAATGCAAAAGGGTTTTTTTTATAATTTATATATGTTTCGATTGGAAAATAAAATATTAATACCCTAGTATACTTTATATTATTATTTTTATACTATATTCATTCAATAATATTAATAGAATTTTCTGGTTCAGTCAAAGCAAATATTTGCAAAACCAAAAAGCGTGTCGCTATCATTTATCGTTAATAATAATAATAATCATAGTTATAAAGGGTGTGTCATCATTCTACAAACATTTTTGGACAAATATTTATATCATTATAATTTTTTTTTTTTTTGTAAAAAAAATAAATGTACAATACATTCTCTTACATTCAGAAACAATTCAAATAAATGAATTAGAAAATAACATTTTTCCTTTAAACTAATAATATAGTTATTTCCAAAACACAACACTGTCATTTGACATATATATATATAGATGATATTAATTAATGTTATACATTAGGGACAAGAGGTAAGGATTAAGCTATCTATATTTCATGTTTTGTCTGTTTTATCATTAGATCGATTGTTTGTGCATTTGCCTTAGGAACAAAGTTTAACTAGAATCAGATATATAATTGGAGAGCAAATTGGTTACGACATTTCTATAAATAGTTCTATAACATATCGAATGTCTTTAAGCTCAATAGATTTTAAACATCAGCCATTTAAAAAATTACTTTTTATATAAATATATACAAACTTTTTTACATATATATGAGATGGACTATAACTAAACATAACTTTTTAAAAATCGGTATTTACAGTCAGGGCATATATTGGCAATTAAATGTAGTACATGCTCTGATAAAGTAATTTTTACACAGATATACTGTTACAATGTTACGGCTTTTGGGAGAATACAAAAGGATTTATTAGGTGGTAAGCCTTCTGGATATCGAGACAATCATATCCTACATATCCTTATAGCTATATTTAACGTCCACAAAACGTATTTTTTATGTTTTAAAATATCTTTAATATTTTTATATTTGTTTTTTAAAATGATTGACTTAAGTCCCTTAAGTAGATAACCCTTAGATTTGAATTTACAATGATTTTTATATATTTATATATTCTTCATATTTGTATATACCATATGTATAACATATTCTTCTATCCAAGTAGCGTATAGTCATAGTTTTAAAACCTCAAGTTATATTATTAAATTATTATATTATTATTATTATATTATTAATATTTTTATTATTAATATTTATTATTCAATAAAGAAAATTTTTTTTTGAAGATCCATGTCAGGAATGTACGCCAGAATTCTTTATCGTAAGTAAGAATTCTTCTTTATTGTGGAAAGTTTTAAAATCGCTTGGACTGAACATTTGCAGAGTAATTGTTGAGTTCTTTCCTTTTTCTTTTCTTCTCGATTTTTTGTTAATCAATTTAGATACATCCAACTTTTCAGCTTAAGTACCCATTGGCTGGTCACCTGTCAAAATTGCCACAAATCTTACCACCTCTATTTTGGCTCTGCCCAGTAGGTTTTTCAAATATGTAGACCACATTAAATGGCTAATGTTATGCAAACTCTCATTCTTGACAATAACAAATATCTTGATAAATAAGTTTAAATCGATCAGATAAATAAATGCTATGCTTTTCTCATTAATTACTATTACTTCAAGGTAGGACTGAAGAATATATAAAATAAAACAAATAAACCCCAAGTGTAATAAGACATAGTTTGACTTTACAGAAGTTAACTAGCTGTGATCTTCACACAAGTGCTGTTTAGTAGCAATTTTTTTATGATTAAAGAAAACTATTTAAATGAAAATTATACCCTTTTGAAATTGTTAACATATTTTTATGAAAATATTACAATTTAATAAACAATGTAAACAATGTAATGTTTTTAAGATTTTAGACTCAATGTAATCAACGAAAGCTAAGGAAAGCTTTTGAGCTTTGTATTTGATTAATATAGCTGCATATTTGACATTATTCAAACAGTACAAAAATATGTGATCCAATTTTTTGAAATAAATTGTTAATAATTTTCTGATTTAATACGGTGAACCTTTTATCTATTGCACTTGTTAATAAAAAAACTGTTTTGCGCTGATATATATAGATATGATCTGCGAATGTAATGTAAAATGTTTATATATTTATTTTGACCGTAGCCGGGAACGACTCCGGAATCTCCAACTTTCTCTGAACGAACCGAGCGATTTGTGCATACTTATGCCATAGAACTTTCTAATCAATAACGTCTTATATCTTTATAACATATTAATTTCTCTAAATTAGTATAATATATTAATATAATTAATTTAAATTAATTACTTTATATATTTAAGTACATAAGATCACAATGTACTTCTATTCTGTTTAAAATATTATTTATACGCAGTCCAGTAAACATATGATCGAGTAAGATATATACATATATCGTGTGTAAACTACTGCATGGCTGTGTTACTTATGGTAATGCTGCTCCATCCGCCATTAGAAAACTCCAAACTTATCCAAATATTGTACTGAGACATATGGTAAAAGCTCTATGGTACATCAGAAATGTAGACGTATACAGAGACTTGAAAGTCGAGAGTGTGCAAAAGTATATCAAAGATAGACCACTGAAATCTTTTGATTCTGTGGAAACGCACAATAATTTAGAATT